TTTTCGCTGACAGATTTTTTTTTAAACGTCTTTTTAAATAAAACCCAAGGCTTGTTTGTGACACAAATAAACAATGTGATATAACTGTTGTTAACAAGCTATCGCTTTACTTTCTTCAAATTTATTTGTTTCTTTTCATCAAAGACCTGTCTCTGTTTGGGACTTGTTGACATATTTTTAAGATTTGTTGGTATTATTTGGGTGATTAAGTGTTAGATTTTATATTGATTATTTTATGAATCAATGAATGACACAAAATAGAAGATCAATTCTGCAGATTTGTTGATGTATCTGAATAAGAGAGTCATATCTTTAACATAAGGAAGGAATTAATAAATGCTACTTTATAAATTTGGATATATCCTGATATACAAATAAGGCAAGTGCAAATTTGATAATTTTTTCAAATTGTTTAAAACCAGCATGACTAATTTAATATGAAACAAGCAGTTTAAAATAGGATTGCATTTCATGTAATATACCTGAACATGTGCATATTCTGCTTAATATCATTTACCCCTTAAATGGACCACCCTTAAAGATAGCTGTTTAGTTTTATATTTTAATACCTTTTTTATGCAAAATTTATTTTATAGATTAATGATGCATTTGCAAAATTTGATAATGTATCTTCTGTATATATGATTTGTAGTAACAATTGATTTGAAAATTAACTTTGATTGTTTTGTTCTGTTTGTTGTTTTCTTTCTTCCTTTAAAAAAAAACAAAAACAACAGAGAGGAAAAAAAACAACAACAAAAAAACACCAGAAAAGATGTTCATGTCAATTAGTGACATCAAAAAGTCAAAGAAACATCAAATATTGACACTGGTTTTAACTTATTCATCACAGATGCTACATTGTATGCTATATCTATGTATATATAAAGCTTTTAAACATCTGAATCCTTTAATGTCATATTAGAGGGATTATAGTGGGGATTTGTTTCTATTTGTCTTTAATGGTTTTAACTGATACTGATGATAATAAGGTGTCAAAGCAGGCAGATAAACGGATTAATTTATGAAAGGGACCTCTGATGAAACTAATCCTTTGACAAACTCCATAACAGGGAATTGCCAGCAAACATGTCAAAATCTTTATGTTTTTATATTACCAGTATATGGTAGAATCTTCCTGTATTTCCAATCCGCAGTTTCTTTTTTTCTTTCATTTAAAATAACAATTTGAAGGTGTTTTTTTTATATAAAGTTGGATGTTAAAAAAAGGACTTAAGACGAATACCAATATATGTTGTTTGGCTCAGTGAAATATGTTTTAATATCGGTTTGTAGAATTTTGTATTACTCATATATAAGTGATATTATAAGTGCTGAAAAATTTCAAAAATGATATTTTTTTCTATGTCAATTTTATATGGTTTTATCATGCAATCCTGTATATATAATTGTGTATGGTATTTTAAAATTTTAATGCAGAAAAAGAGGGGGAAAAAATAAAGTGTAAATGACGAGTTTAATGAGATATGGTTGTTGTTGATGTTGCTGCTGTTGTTTTTGTTGTTGTATTAGCCGCGTTTGTTCTTGTTGCTTGCATTCTATTCTTGTTGCTGTTTCAGCAGTTGTTGTAAGTACTATTGTTGTTTGACAATGAGTTATGTTTGATTGACTGCAGTCAGTTTTATAAGCTAAAATGCAACTGTTACGATTACACAATTATTTTCTAAGCCATGTCATGTATAGTATCATTATATGATGAGAAGCTTTCATTATCGTCTCATTGTCAAACAATGGGAAAAAAACACAAAACTTGTTGGTATTTTAGTTTCGCGTGTACATTTATCACCTCCATCTAATGCAGTATCATACGGGGGTCAGAATCGCCTTAATGATGAGGTCACATCAGTAGCGTGACAAACACCCGCATCTTTTTATAGTTTTGTATTATTTTACAGTATGGGTTACCATGGGCACCATATTTTTATATTGGATACTTATCGTTATTGTATATTTTGTCTTTGAAGATGGCTTTTGTTTCTAGACATAATACATTAAAGATATTAGTGATGGTATTAGTAATGAAATCATAAAGTTATCAACATATTTAATCAAGAGACACAAAATTGAGCCCGATGTTTTTCCTATATCCTGTTGTTTTTTGGGGAATATGTTTTTCCCTCCTTTTTTCTTCTTTTTTAAAGATTTTTTTTACAAAGGACAAGGTGAATGTGTATTAATTGTTCACATATATTAAATATCAGAACCAACCAGGATGAATGTTTTTTGACATGTTTACTATTGATCAATATGTAAATCATGGAACAATATTGAAGACGAGTAGCATTGTCCTTTTTTTCAATATTGCATGTAAATGAGGCAAAGTCAATGAATAAATTTTCTGATGTTGATGAAATTATGACAGTTAAGGTATAGGATAGAAACATGAAAGTTGACACATGATTAACAAAAAAATATTATCAGATGAAGATAGTGAAAAATTATAATATTATAATCTGTGCGTATGTCAGTGCTTCTGTTAACTTGACATCTACATTTTAGCAACTTTTAATGATTTTTTAATATCATCTCCATCTTTATTTTTCTTTTAGCATTGAAAATTTAGTATCATAATTTATCTTACATTTTTATGTTAATTAGGAATACAACCTTTTTTTAAAAAAAGTCAAGACATGTATGTTAGAAAAATCTTAAATTCTTTTTTGAGCTGATGTTTAGAATGCCATACTGTTTCAAAATGCTTGCAAATTGGTATTAAAATAGCTTTTTCTTTAATTCCATGTCCCATTACTTTAATATTAACTGGTTTGATAGTCACGTAGTCAATTAACAGACAGTTTATAAACTTCTCTGCCAAAATAAGGAAAAGTAGCTGACAAGTGCGGCACTTTAATAAATCCATAATATAAATATTTAAATCAAATTCTGTCCAGCTTGCACTCTATGTATAAATCAAGAGCTTTAATTGAATAAACAAGTGGTTAACCTATTTGAATATTTGGATAAAAGATTTTGAAATTTAAGGTTATATTCTGGTTAGCTACTGGTTTGATCTGCCTTATTATTTTTTTATTTCTTTTTTTAAAGAGAATAATAAGAGTAAAAAAAAACCTCAGCCAGCATTGGTGTGCATGTTGTATTTATTTCCTTCTTACTTTTCAAGAATTGTTGAGTTTTGATTCACGTCAGCAGTAAAAGGGAGAATATGGCAACCTCCAAAACTTACAGGTGGAAGAAGACTTTTTTCTTTATTTCAAGAATGAGTTGACATCTTAAAAGAAGAACCCATTAAGCTTCCATAAGCTACATGTAGCTGGATAGTATCTTGTCATGGAAGAATTAAAAGTCTCTGACAGAATAAAACTCAAAGCTCGCAGGGAGGGGCAGGGTCTCATTAACTTTTTGGCACTTTGATACACTTTATTTGTCATACTAATCTACAATTTCCTTAAAATTGAAAATCTCAGTCCAGTCATCATGTTTAATGAGCTTAATAGGTCAAGTGGAAATAATATTTGGTTATGTGAGATTGGTCAGTGGTTAAAGCAAGGCCAATGGTCAAGGTGGTAAATGATTAAATCATGTTTGATAACTGTTCATAACTCTTCATCATTTGAAATGTTTTTGTTATTTTTGTAAATAACTAAGGTTAGAGTTGTTTTTGGAAAAATATTTATGTTGAAATTGATACATTTTATTTTGAAATGGTTAAGTATGACATATAGGATAGGAGGCTCCTGAGTATGTTGTTTATAAGTATGACATTTACTGTAAGGCTGAATTTTCAAATGAAGTGTCCGATGAAACAATACGAAGGCAAAGTCTTTTAACCCTCTGGTCATACAGGTTAGAAACCCACAATCAGAAAACGAAGACTTGTAACCCTTTGGTCATTCAGGTTAGAAACCCACAATCATTCTTATTTAACTTTAGCTTTACTGAATTCCTGTCGTGCACTTATCTTGCTTTGAATGTACAGGGAAAGTGTCAAATAATTATTTAATTTGAATATCATAATTTCTTAAAGAACACGTTTATAACAGTGTGAATTTCACAGAGGAGAGAAAATTGATAGAAAAAAATACTTCAGCTTAGTTAAAAATGATGTTACGTTATGTTTTTATCCTTGTTTATTAGGACCGTTACAGTCTACTAGAAATGATATCTTAAATCAAGCTTTTGATATGTGAAGAGATGATCGACACGTTATATTCAGTAGGTAAAGAAAGCAACGTTCAATTAAAGGATTTATTTTTGCACAGTTTATGAAAGAGAACTGCAAATCATTTTCTGCATCATATGAAAATTAGAATATAAATTGAAAAGAAGCCTAACTGTCGTGACGATGTACTGATTGCTGTGACGAAATTGTACGGTTTTTATAATAATAAATTATACGGTTTTAAAGTTTCTGTGAAACTTCGTACGATTTTTTTCAAAATTTCTATCTGTTCACTTATGTCATGATTATATGTTTGCAAGTTTCGCACAAATCTTATCTGTAATCCGTAAACACGCTGACAAACAATGATGCCAACGGGTAACAGATAATGGTTCCCAGTTACTCTCCGTGTCGAGGTTGTATCCAGGCTTTAGAATTTTAGTTTTGCTATTTAAATCATGTATTAGTAAATAAGTAAGTAAGTAAGTAACAACTTTATTTAATTTTTTTTAAGAATGAATTCAAAATATCTGTTCCAAATAAAAAAATTTTGATCACAAAAAAAGAAAAATTGTTAAAAATGGTTGTTTTTACATAAACTCTCTCTTGAATGGAAAAACGTACGGGAGGAGTTGATTTTTTTTCGTCTTGCAATAACAGGAAACCAAAACCACATTAGCTTAATAAATATGAGAATAACAATCTCGCTTTATGGTGTTAAATTTGTAGCCACATGTCTTAAAAGGAAATTTATTTACATATTAATAAACTGCCATGAAAGGCTTCAAAATATTGAAAAGTGAATGCATTATATATAATAAACTACACGCTATTCATGTTTTAATGATATTTTCGTAACAGCTTTTCACGATTTCAGTGCGGATAATTCAGTGTATGGTTGGTGTAGTATCAAATCTATTTACATTATTGATTATAACGCAGCTCCTGAAAAACAGATTTTAAATAAATCACTAATCTGTTTTGATCAAAGCGACACTAACGTCTTAAACACATTAAGAGAGCTGTCATACATTTAAGAGTATCAAAAATCATAAAGGTATTCAACTCGGGGATGGGGATGTTAAAATGTACCGGAGTTCATCAGATAAAAAAAAATTGCCATTGGTATAAAAACGTCTTCAGTAACCAAACCGACCAATCGTAAAGTTGGTTTAAAGTCACGGGTGCATTGCTCGTTGTGTTAGGTAGATCGCGGTATTGAAAGTTTATAAGATTTCTAGTGAAGTTTACTATACAAATCATATTGTCGTGATAATTAATGTAAATTGGATATTACAGTTGTGATAAGGCTCGAAACGTAAATGGATTTGTATGGTTTTACAATATGCTTGTTTATATCATGTGATATTTCCGCCACTTACTGGACAAAAATTGCTTCACGTCCCCTCTTTTTTCATCAGAATTTAACATTATATATGATCGCAAACAGATTATAAAAATTATTTTTCTGGACAGATTTGTGAATTTTCCTCTTTTTGATGAAAATGTGGATTTAGTATTGAATGGATATTAATAAAAACATTAAATAGGTAAAACTTTTATTTACAGTTTTAGTATTTTAAGTTATTTAATGCATCACATTTTTTTGCAAAATAATGTTATTTCTTATGACAATAGGGAGTTGTTTCTTATAGTTGCAATTGCAACATAATGATCCTTAATATATAATGAATGATTGAAAATTGTATTTAAAAAAATTTATTAAAATTTTCATACTGAATTTTGTAACATATAATTTAGTAGGAAGTTTTTTGTTGTTTTTTTTCTCCACTGTATTATATGTCACTGAGTATCATTACACTTTTCTTTCTTTATTTTATGATATTCAAACCCAGTATATCTATGAAATGATAATGAAATAATTTTGAACAATTTGTTTTCTCGAAATTACTCTTTATGAAATTTATCCGTAAAATCACGTTTTTGTAAAAAAAAAAATTTTGCAAATGGTTACTCCAGAGCAGACATTAAAGTAGCATGCCTCAAAAAAAATATAAATTTAGAAAAAAATCAAACATGAAAAAAAAAAAGATATTTATATATTATATGTTTATATATGAAATATTTAAATATTCAAATTCCAGACTGAACTTAAATATTGCTCAGGTGAAACAGTGAATATAATTATGCAAAATATGACTTACTACTAATTTATTGTTTAATATTACCAAAATTCTGCCTCGATCTTGTCTTACTTAGTAAAAGAAATTTTGCATATTTGACAAATTGCAGGTAATTTCTGTTTATAAGCTATGTCAAAAAATAACTTGATATATTCAACATTTAAAATCAGAAATTTTTATACAAATAAACAGAAATCTGGGGGCTTGATGCTTTAATAAATGTTTTTTTATTATTTTTGTTGCATTTAAATATATCATAATTTTTCAGTTGTAAAGTGATTCATTCAGTACACTTACTTAAGTATGTATGTAGAAAACTAAATTCACCTACGGAGGTAAAAAAAAACACTTATGAATATTAACTTTTAATAATATTGGGCAATTTCTTCCTTAAATTCTGTTTACTTTAATGTAAAAGACCTCAAAGATTTGAAAATTTGAAAAGAAAGGAGGACAATTTTAGTATCAAATTGATGTAAAAAACAAAATAAAAAAAATGCTGAAAGTTTTAAATCAAACATTAAATTGGCTAAGTAAATTGAGTGAGACAGGTGCATAGGCTATAAAACCTGAAACTGGTGTTTAAGGAAAACAAAGTTTCTTTTCTAAAGTTTCTGTAATCCATTCAATAAAAATGTTTATTTTTTACCAGTTTTATGTGTTTCTCTCTTCTGTGAGAATTCTCATAAACTCAGTGGAAACTATAAAATACAGATTACTGACTAGGAGGGGGGAAACCTGTGTCAATCCTTTCAAATGTGCATATTTTTACTTTTTAAAACATGATGAAGATTGTTACATGGTATGTTTAATAGTTCTATAGTTGCTTTTACTTGTGTCTTGATATTGATGAAAGGGTGTCCATGGCCGAGTGGTTAAGGGTCATTGACCTTAAACCACTAGCCTCTCAGCGCTGTGCAAGTTCGAATCCCAACAGGGACTTTGTGCCTACTCTGGTGGCATGAGTAAATTAAGTTGCCACCAACAAATAAGGGTTATTCAGATCAAATCAAGTCATAGAATCTTGTAATAGTTTACATAATGTAGCATAATTAAAATGTCAAAACACATTAATGTTGATATTTTACCAATTATATGTGGATTGTCCCCCTTGGAATTGGTTGTTTTACACTATAAATTGTTTATACATGATTGTATATGTGTGCATAATTATTCTTATAAAAGACAAAAATCATGAATGTTTCTATAATATTATTAGACTGAATCATTTCTAGAAACTTAAAAGGTTTTAAGTTCCTAATGCATGAAAAGGGAACGTTTTCAGTTTGACTGCAAGTTAAACGTTCATTTTTGTTTTTGTGTGGTTTTTGTTTTGTTTTTGTTTTTCTCTCTTTGCTCTTTTGGAGATCAAGTACCCACATAAGTTTTAAGATAGAAATGTATCTTAGATAAAAGAAGTTTTCAATGTGACCTTGATACGACCTTTACCGCGACTTTTAAATGTCTATAAGTTTCATATTTCACATTAATGCAAAAAAACAAACGCAACAAAAAATCATTTGAAATATCTCAGCCTTGGTCTGTTTAGCAGATTGTCATATATACTGTAGATGGTCTTTAAAACATGTATGCTTGTCCAAGTTTTAGATTTATAATTCAAAATTTATACAAAATAAAAATTTCATATCGGACCATAACTGTCAGTTTTAACAAAGATTAAAGTTGTTTATATATGTTATACTTCTGAACAGGCTGTCAAAAAAAAGCGATGCTACGAAAAAAACAAAGGTGAATTTGAAAGATGACAAGCTTTTTAGATTTTGTCATTTCCCATTACCATATATGAAAGATCTCTGAACTTTGTAATGTTGTTTGGCAAGCGGAGTTGGCCTTTTATACATTACCTACCTTACGAAATGATATATATGTACCAATATGAATGTAAAATAATTATGTAAAGAAAAATTTTTTATATTTTTTCATAACAAAATGATAAACAATGTAAGCAGTCTCGTAATATACCTAAAATGTACTTTTTGTCATTTGATATAGATTTAGAATTCAACGCAATAATGACGGGTACTCAATGTATTTAAAGAGCAAGTTACAGCATTCTCGACTTGATCGGTTAATGAATGAATTGTTTTAGTATGACTGGATAATTATATTAATATCTTCTTTCGGGCTTATTTTGAATCAAATATCAATCTTTTGTTACATGTATATTGTTCTATTTATGGTCACAAGTAGATTATCTTATCCACGTTTTGAAAAGCGTTCAATTTTAAGTGCTGCTTTAATCTATATAGTTGTACTATTATCTTTAAGACAAAAGAAAATTTAAGGTAACTGCAAATGTGTTGCACAGATACTCAGTATGTGAAGTAGGGAAATGGTTAATTTAGGTCAATAGTGCTGTTCACTTTTTGAAGTTAACAGTTTTACCAGATTGCTGATGTTCTGTATAACATCTTTTAGTCCTTTAATGGGATAAACTAAATTGTTAAAATGTCGTACAAATTATACATCCTTTTCCTGCCAAAAGGCCATTCATTGGCTTAAATATCAACAAAATGTTGAGAAACTTGTAACAGGTTTTTATGTTGCTGTTTGTCCTTTAATTAATATACAATGTATGTATTGTTTTGAGTAGTAAAAATCAATGTCTGATATATTAATTTATTCCATTGTTAATTAAGATGCCACTGTGTTGAACGATTTTCAGTCTTTAAGCAGAATAAAGTGAATGAATTTACTGCATTGAAGGGATTCAAATATGGTTGTATTGAGGTATAGATGCGACGATGTTTTTATTCCGATATTAATTAATATTCTAGCAACATCGCTGTCTGTGTCAGGGTATTATATATATTAAAAAAAAATCAACCTGTAACGGGAACATCTCAGTGGGAAGCTATAGACATAGTAAATGAGAGATGACGCTGTAAACGGCACTGTTTACTTACATTTGCATATTTGGACTTAATACGATTTTCTTGTTGGATTGAAGTGTATCGTTACAGTAAAGTTATTTAACGCTAACAGTTATTATGCAAAGAGGATATCAGTATATAATGTATTATTTGCGTCAAAATGAATAATATCTCGGGAACATTTTGACGGATAAAGATGAGACATTTTGTATATCCTTTTTTGAAGGAAGATGAATTTGTTACTCTTCGCGAGATCTATTTAAGATTAGGCCCGATTAATTTTCAAAATTTTAGACTTAATGATGATACAGTTTACTGCTCTGGTACGCTTTTACATAAATTCAAAAATTAACGTTTATATCGTTTTCTACGTGCAAAACAGCGTAGATCATTTAACAAGGCGTATTAATACAAAAAAGTGAGTTAAAACGACAGATTATGCTTCAGATATCACATAAGTAGGTATTTTTTACGATACTGATGTTGACGTTTGGTAAATTATTCCAACTGTGTACCGTGAAATGGCAATTTCATGGCGTAATAACCTGGTACTTTAAAAACAGTGTCAGTTTTAAAATGAAACAAATTATTGTCACAATATAATAGTGTGCTTCTTTAAGTTAAAACTGTTTTATGTATTAGTTGTTAACTTCTATATAAATACAAGCTGGGAATTATTAAACAAGATGAGTTTATCATTTCAGATGGTGAGATATTTTTTATATTCAAAATCTAGTGAAATATCAAATGTTGCAGTTTTTATGCATTTACTAAATGTACCTTAGATAATTTTGACAAGAAAAATGTATTTTGCCATATCTGATTAATTATTATATTATTGTGTTTGTTGTTTATTATCTGTACTTTGAATCAACCTGTACTTTATCAAGAGACAAAAACGGTCTGATATCATATTTAAATAATGGGTAAATATTTTTGATGGTTTTTTTTTAGCTCACCTGTCACAAAGTGACAGGGTGAGCTTTTGTGATCGCTTTTCGTCCGGCGTCCGTCCGTCGTCCGTCCGTCCGTCCGTAAACTTTTACTTTAAATGACATCTCCTCATAAACCACTGAGCCAATTTCATCCAAACTTCACAGGAATGTTCCTTTGGTGGTCACCTTTAAAAATTGTTCAAAGAATTTAATTCCATGCAAAACTCTGGTTGCCATGGCAACCGAAAGAAAAAACTTTAAATATCTTCTTTTAAAAAACCATAAGAGCTAGAGCTTAGATATTTGGCATGAAACATCTTCTAGTGAGTGTCTACCAAGTTTGTCCAAATAAAAGCCCTGGGGTCAAAATTGGCCCCGCCCCGGGGGGTCATTGATTTTCCCTATATGCATATAGTAAAAACTTAAAAAATCTTCTTTTAAAGAACCCAAAGAGCTAGAGCTAAGATATTTAGCATGAAACATGTTCTAATGGGTGTCTACCAAGTTTGTTCAAATAAAAGCCTTGGGGTGAAAATTGGCCCCGCCCCGGGGGTCATTGATTTTCCCTATATGCATA